GTGTGTGTGAGTGTGAGTGTGTGTGTGTGTGTGTGTGCAGGATTGCTCATTATACATGCACACACACGCGCCTCAGGAGACGCTGCTGACCTGTGTCTGTGTGTGTGTGTGTGTGTTTCCCGAGCAGAGCCCGGAGTAGCGCGAGCGCTGACGTTCCTCCAGAGGCCTCAGAAGGTCACGGCTCTACAGGGCAGAGATGCGGTTCTAGAATGTTCCGCCTCCGGCTATCCCACCCCATCCTTCTACTGGATGAGAGGAGACGAGCTGATCCAGAGCAGGTGAGGAGAAACACTCCGCTGACACAGCATCATAAACGGCTGCTAAATTCAGTTATATCTTCACTGCCTTTTAGCACTCTGGGGTCGGTAGGACTTTTTAATGTTTTAAAAGTCAGAAAAGTCTCATCTGCTCATCAAGGCTGCATTTATTTGATGGAAAATAAATTAAAAGAAGCGACTCTCTTCAGCTGTGGTTTTCTCTTCTTCGTCTGATGGTGTTTCTGTGTCTGCTTCTCTGTCAGATCAAAGAAATACTCTCTCCTGAGCGCCAGCAACCTTCTGATCAGCAGCGTCACAGACGATGACTCGGGAACGTACAGCTGCGTCGCTCACAACAAACAGCAGAACATCTCCGCGTCCTGCCAGCTCTCCGTGCTCGGTGAGTTTATTCCTCAGCTCGTCACAAAACACTGACTCATTACATTCTGGCTTCATTCACTCACCTCACTGAAAATCTTACAAATCTCACTCACACTTCATCATTAGATGCTCACGTATTTAACAAGTTTATGATCGTGATGCAACTGAAAGAGATTGTGACATCTGACTGAGATGAGAGGTTTGGAATAATTTTGATTTTTTTTTATGTTTTCTGCTCCGCAAGACTGCACTTATTTAATCAAGAATACTGTAAAAATAGCTAAATATTATTACAATCTAAAACAGCTGTTTTCTATGTGAATATCTGTTAAACTGTAATGTATTTCTGTGATGCGCAGCTGTATTTTCAGCATCATTACTCCAGTCTTCAGTGTCACGTGATCTTCAGAAATCATTCTAATATGCTGATTTGCTGCTCAAGAAACATTTCTGATTATTATTAGCACTAAAGAACAGTTTGTATACACTATCATTCAAGATTCTGGAATAAGTAAGATTAAAAAAAATACTTTTATTCATTAAGGACGCATTAAATTGATCTAAAGTGACAGTAAAGACATTTATAATGTGACAAAAAAAATTATATTTCAAATTAATGTTGCTCTTCTTAACTTTCTATTCAACTCTGAATCCTGAAAAATAAAAAGCATCACGGTTTCCACAAAAATATTAAGCAGCACAACTGTTTTCAACATTGATGATAATCAGAAATGTTTCTTGAGCAGCTTGAGCCGTGATCGTCTCTTTAGTTCCAGTCCGTGTGGATGAACACGTTAATATTCATGTGTTGTTCTGTTGAGTTTGTGTGGGATTAAAGAGTTTTTGAGGAAACTTTCTCGGGTTTGTTTCATCTTCCTTTGTGAAGTTCTCTGTTTGATCATTAGCTCTTTGAAATGAGGTTTTGTTCTTGTTTTTATTTTGCCATCCATGTAAATCCTCTTTGTTCATAATCAGCACTGATTACGTGAGATTTTCACAGCTTTGTAGATGTTTAGTTCGTTTTATAAAGCAGATGGTTTGTATTCTGTGTTCTGATTTGATGCTGGCAAACACCTGTGATACATTATTCATCAGTTAGTTCTGTTCCTCAGATCTGATTGGCTGTTCGTAGATCAGCTCAGGTTTCAGTGTTTCTGTTCAGCTTCGTATTGATAGATTGATTCAGATTTATTGATTGATTGGATGATTGACACAAAACCTAAAGCTTCAGCTTGTTTTGGAGAAGAAATGTATGAACTGACTGGCCAATTTTGATCTGAAATATACGTTAGTAAGCTTATAGTAGCTTGTGTGCTAGTTAGTTACCAGCCCTTTAAACCCCTAACCAGACCAACTAAACCAGATTAGCACTGACATTATTTTTTAATTTCAGTTTTAGTTTCAGTAATTACAGTACTTCAGCTTAAATTTATTTTCAGTTAGTTGCCAAGTTCGTGTAATATTTTATTTTATTTCAGCTTTATTTCAATTAACAGTTGCCATTTTTAATCATTTTAGTTTTAGTTAACAATATCAGCACGAACTGTCACAGAGGAGACTAACTCTAAACAGAACTTAAAAGTTATTAAAACAACCAGCAATTAAAATAGTTTTATAATTTTTATGTAACCCATTAAATTCATATAAAATTAAATCCTCTTTTTGTAAGTCGTTTGGATAAAAAGCATCTGCTAAATGCATAAATGTAAAACGTAAATTTGTTGTGTTTTGTTCATAGTATTTCGAATAACACATTTTATTTAGTTGTCATACATTTTAGTATTCAATGATTTTTACCCATCACAAAAAAATTTGATTTTATTTTTTGCAACCTTATGCTTGAATTAAATTATAATTTAATTAAATTTTAAAATGAAAAAAATATATAAAATGAAATATTTTAATTAAATATTTATTTAATATTATTAGATTAAACATTTATATATATATATATATGTGTGTGTGTGTGTGTGTGTGTGTGTGTGTGTGTATATTTTTCATTTTGTATTTTTTAATAAAAACAATAGGTTAATAATCAATAAGAAATGTATTAAAAAAACATTTTTGAACCTATGTCTCCATTTCTCAAAACACAAGATCTGTTAGTTTTGAATGAAGTGTGTAATGCAGAGAACTATGTTTAGAGTTTTGCAAAAAGTTTGTTTTAGAAAAGCAAACTGAGTTTAAAGCACGTAATGTGCTTGTAGTTTTGCAGACTTGGTCTAAAGATTCGGTATACGAGTGAATTGTTTCACTGAATGTTTTAATATTCACTGATTTTTCCCCCATTACAAAAAGTAAAAATAATAATAATAAATCATGTTGTGATGTAACTTTGCAGCCTTTATATAGTTGTAATATTTAAAACAAAAAAAACAAAACAAAAAGAAAAGAAAATGCTTCATGTAGTACAGTATGTAGTCTGTCCCTGTGTTTCGTCTGGGATTCATGCCCGCTGCGCTTTCTGTGTGTTTTCTGTCTGAAGTGTGTTTTTGTGGCGTTGAGACTCCAGAGGATCCTGTGGAAGCAGGTGGTGATGTTCTAGTGAGGGACGCTCAGAGCTGAAGGATTCACGCATGCAGTATTCATGAGGCCTCCACAAACCCCATCATCACGCTCTGTTCAGACGCTCTGGATGGACACTAGTTAGTGCCCTCGAGCGGAGAGCTTTCTGGGTGGCTGAGAGAACAGATGGAGTGTAGGAAACAGAAACATACAGCAATTATTTCACACGACACCTGCGAATCCTTTAATTAAACCTAAGTTTTGTGGTCAAAAACTTCCCAGCACTTTTAATTGGTTCCTCGACGTTATAGCAAGTGGAATATTCAGTGCGTGTGTTTTGGTATTTTAGCTCTCCAGACGTCTGTTCTCCTGAGAAGATGTTCAGTGAGACGCTGAATAAAAATATCAGCGTTTATTGAGAGTAATGATGCGTTAACGGCACATTTCGTTAGACGTCCTCTCTTTACGTCTGTTTTCTCATCCGGACGAATGTTACGCAATCAGATGCATCGAACGCTCAGGCCAAACACAGCGCACATTTATCAGGAATCTTTAAATCTGGTGTCTGATTAAAATGCATGAGTGTGACAAGTGCTGGCTGGCGGAGATCATTTTTTAATCATGAGTTTGTTGCTGCTTTTGCACAGATATGCACAGGTTTGCATGGATAGACAGCTGAGAGAGGATGGAAAATGAGGATTTCTGATTGCACAGCTTTCATTTGGCGAGCATTTATTGTTTTCAGCGTCTGTGATCATGTGAAACAAACCTGAAGCCTTCAACGCTGAAACTTTACAAACAGCATCAATTCTGCATCTGTTGCCTCTTAAAGGTACAGTTTATCATTTACTTGCGCGCGTCATGTTTTTTTAAACCTGTATGACTTTCTTTCTTCTGTGAATGTGAGACTCCTCCTGCAATGACTCTCCAAGCCACTAGGAAACGCTGTCTGCTCCCTCATGCAATGACTCTCCCAGCCATTGGTGGGCACCCCCTGCACTTTACTGTGAGAACTCTCTGAGCCACTAGGCGGCACCACCTGCTGTGAACTCTTTAGTTAAGACTGCTCATCATGTTAATTTGTTCTACCTGTATTTTGTCCTATTTAAGTTTGGCAGTTTCATTGAGCTGTGTTCAGTCTTGAGCCTACCCAGTACGGATAACCTGAGTTCTAGAACAGTTAAGTGATGTTTTCCTGTTGCCATTTGGCCTACATTATTTTGTTTTGTAAAGCTATAACTGATCTTTTGTTTGTATTTGAATACTGAGATCAAGTAAAGACTGCCTGCTTTTGAGTTATCTGAGCCTCCGAGTTTACCTTTCCTTCTGCACATGGGTCTACTAAAAAACTGTCTTCCCCAGTAGACCAGAGGTAGAGAACTAGCTTTCACTGACTGGGAGACCTGGGTTCAAGACCCACCTCAGACACCTTATGTCAGTCCATTGTGACAGCACCCTGGCACTTGTCCACCTCGAGGGAGACTATTCTCTCTGTCTGCCCCAGAAAGAGCCTCTATGGAGGAATATATCAACAAGTCTGTTGACAGGATTCATCCACCCTTCAACCTCACCGGCAGGAGCTGGGTTTTTCTTTGTGGGGAAAAATGATGGCAATCTCCGACCATGTATTGACTACCAGGGTCTAAATGGTATCACTGTAAAAAATCGTTACCCGCTGCCATTGATGACTTCAGCCTTTGAACTCCTACAAGGTGCAACTATATTCACCAAACTGGATCTTAGGAATGCCTACCACCTGGTTAGGATCCATGCTGGGGATGAGTGGAAGACTGCATTCAACACCCCAACTGGCCAATATGAGTATCAGGTAATGCCCTTTGGGCTAGTCAATGCCCCAGCCGTCTTCCAGGCATTCATTAATGATGTTCTACGAGAGATGCTTAACAGTTTGTATCTGTTGATCTTGATGGCATCTTAATCTTCTCCCGTTGTTACCAAGATTATGTCCAGCATGTCCGCCAGGTTTTATCTCAACTGTTAAGGAACAACCTCTTTGTGAAGCTGGAGAAAAGTGAGTTTCATGTACCAACTGTCTCCTTCCTTAAGTTCATTGTCTCGAACGGCAGCATTCAGATAGATCCTGGCAAAACCCATGCAGTTCTGAACTGGCCTCAGCCTTGCTCTGTCAAACAGGTACAGCGCTTTCTTGATTTTGCACATTTTTATAGGAGATTTATAAGAAATTTCAGCTCTATTGCAGAACCCCTTACAGTCCTTACCAAAAAGACCTAATGGCCATTCCAATGGACAGAAAGGGCTAATCAAGAATTTGAGCCGCTCAAGCGCCGATTCACCACCACTGCACCCATCCTGACCCTCCTCGATCCAGAGTTGCCTTTTGTAGTAGAAGTGGATGCGTCAGATTTTGGAGTGGGAGCTGTATTGTCTCAAAAGGCCAAGAGGGACAATAAGTTTCGTCCTTGTGCTTTTTTTTCACGTCGACTCACCCAAGCAGAAAAGAACTATGATATTGGTAACCGGGAGTTGCTGGCG